TTATACTGGTTCTAACTGGTCTCTCCCTCTGTCCCACAGGCCGGGGGGTGGCACTTCCCCCGTTACGAGTGCGGGGTCCCCGCCCCTCCCCCCGGGTGGGCTCTGCTGCACCCCGGGCGTCTCACCCACCTCCCCCGGGGGGTCCCCCCAAAACGGGGCCCCCGCTGGGGCCTCGAGGTGCTGCTGGACCCCTGAAATTGGGGGGGGGGGACACCCCCCGAAATGGGGAGGGGCGCCCCCAAATTTGGGAGCCCGGAAATGGGGGGGACCCCGAAATCTGGGACCTCCGGGACGTCGAGGACCCCCCGAATTTGGGGCATCGGAGACCCCCCCCCGGGACATCGAGGACCCCAAAAATGGGGGGTGGGACCCCAAAAATGGGGGGGACCCCGAAATCTGGGACCCCAAAATCTGGGACCCCGAAAATGGGGGGAACCCCAAAATCTGGGACATCCGGGACATCATTGGGGACCCCCCAGGACTTTGAGGACCCCCCCCCAAATTTGGGGCATCAGAGACCCCCCCGGGACATCGAGGACCCCAAAAATGGGGAGAGAGACCCCAAAAATGGGGGGGACCCCGAAATCCGGGACCCCAAAATCTGGGACCCCGAAAATGGGGGGAACCCCAAAATCTGGGACCTGCGGGACATCATTGGGGACCCCCCTGGACATCGAGGACCCCCCAAATTTGGGGCATCAGAGACTCTCCTGGACATCGAGGACCCCAAAAATGGGGAGTGGGATCCCGAAAATGGGGGGGACCCCGAAATCTGGGACCCCAAAATCTGGGACCCCGAAAATGGGGGGGACCCCGAAATCTGGGACCTCCAGGACATCGAGGACCCCCCTGGACATCGAGGACCCCCCCAGGATTTTGGGGACCCCCCCCGGACTTTGGGGACCCCTCTTCAGGACGTCGAGGACCCCCCGAATTTGGGGCATCAGAGACACCCCCAGGACATTGAGGACCCCAAAAATGGGGAGAGAGACCCCAAAAATGGGGGGAACCCCAAAATCTGGGACATCCGGGACATCATTGGGGACCCCCCAGGACATCGAGGACCCCCCAAATTTGGGGCATCAGAGGACCCCCCCCGGACATCGAGGACCCCAAAAATGGGGAGAGAGACCCCAAAAATGGGGGGGACCCCGAAATCTGGGACCCCCAGGACATCGAGGACCCCCCAAATTTGGGGCATCAGAGGACCCCCCCCGG